CGGCCCCTCCAAGTACTCCGACGACCTGAGCAGCTACAAGCACGGTGACGAGCAGGAGCTGCCCCTGAGCGGTGACTCCGACTCTTACTCCAGCTACTCCTCCTCGTCCTCGAGCGGGCCCGTCGACAGCTACGGCCCCCCTGCCCTGGACAGCTACTCCCACACCAGCTCGGGCTCCTCTGGCTGGAAGCCCATCCGCTCCCACAAGAGCTCCTACAAGTACTGATGGGTGCGCTGGCTGCACCGCCGCGGCCCCGCCCGGGGCCTGTCTTGCTGGACGCTGTCCAGGCCCGGGGCGGGCCCGCCCCATCCTCCTTCCCTGACTGATGCCACGCGGGTATACCAGTAGTAGACAACACGCGAACCACCAAATCGTCCTTAGTAGTGTGTATTTGTTATTATCGTTAGTATTGTTGATGTTTTACATATCAAGCGCCGTCCTCATTGCCATCATGAACGCTAATGTAACTAGTCTTTATATTGTTATGTTGTTTGTTTTTGTTGATCCTGACTGTTAATGTGTGACCTGTAAAATAAAAATGTTGAAACGTTTACCACCTGTTTTATTTACGAAATCTCTTGAAACTCACTAGAGGAAATTCGTTATAAATGTGAAGCCCTGATGTCAGCGGTATATAACATCTCAACGCAATCTCTGCTGGACCCACATTAATTTGTCTCTTGCAATGGCAATTAGTCTTGCGACACGGGACACAATAATACGTAATAGGAAAGCGACAGGCGCCCGCCCGGGAAAGGGGAAGAGAAACGAGAACCAGTATCGATATTTTTAATTTGTGGTCTGGAAAGGCAACGGCGACGCGCACGCCACCTCGGTGATGGCTTAAACCTGCAGGCAGGGCAGGTGATCCGTCTGGACACGACGACGGTGGGCAGATGGGTGCGGCCCTGCCTATCCGGGGGGCGACAGGAGCCGCAGCCGCAGCCGCAGCTGTGGCGCATGGCTGACCTGCCCGAATGGGAAGCAGTTAAGGAAGTCGAGCAATGAGCCTGCAGACAGACGCGGGGCGGGGCCGGTGGGGCCGGGCAGCGCAGGGCAGGGCAGTGATTTTGTTTTCTGCTTCGGGAGAGACAGCAGTGGCCGGCCGGGGCAAGCCGGCGACCGGTTTTCCGGCCGAGCGAGCAGTGCACACACACACACACTCACTCACGGGATCTGCTCCAGTTATGACGCAACGCGGTCACAACCCCGAGGGGCGAGTATCTTAATTCCATGGAGATATTTTCGTTTCGAAATCTGGACCAATTGTCGCCCGTTTCCGGGCGGGCCCTGATTTCAACCAGCATGCTCTGCTCGGAGGAATGGAGGCGGATATGGAGCAGAGCAAACGAGGTGGGCGTTCGATGTCTTGCACTGGTGCGTCACATGTGTGCGATATAGTCAGGTGCCACTTTTAAAAGTGGACCGTTAGGAAGGCACCCTATTCCAGTCTATTTATCTGTTTCATTTTCTCAGTCCTGCTTCCCTAAAACTATTTCTCGATCACGAATTTTAAGTGTGATTTGATATGCGCCATGCAAGCGGGCCTGCATAACTGCATACGCGGATGATGTTGTGTTTTATTATTTTAACGGTAAAAATTTGATGGTAAAAGCCAAAGAATCACGACTGTAGATTTTTAGTATCATTGGCATCATTTTTGTGCTAGCAACACTGACGCATGTATTTCGTGTTACTTAAACGCGCTCAAATGTATTACATGTGGAAAGGGTAATTTTTATAACCTGTTTACTGTTTTGGATAAAGTGATAGGTGCATGGCATTCTCGATGGTACCACTGCTTTCTCGGTACCGTATTTGTATAATGTAATTTTTTAAGGAATAATGTGTGTCTGTGTTTTAGTAAAGAGAAAATCATTTTTTTAAATAATAGAAACGTTTCTATATTTGTCAACAACAACCATTACAAATGGGACTAGTTGCACGATGTGATGAGGATGAAGTAACAAAGGATGAGTTGTGGATGACGATCAGTCTTGCGGGGATGCGTGGTGGCGCTGCGGCTCTACCAGTTCTTGACGGGAGCGGCGGCGTGGCTGGCGTACTCCAGGGAGGGGGCGGCGACGGAACCGTAGGAGTGGGCGGCGTATGCAGGAGCGGCGTAGCCGTGGGCGGCGTGGGAGGAGTAGGCGATCTGGGGGGCAGCAACACCGTAGGAGATCTGCTTGTAGGCGGGCTCAACGGGGACGGGCACAGCCTGGGGCACGGGCACGGGGACGGCCTGGTTGATCTGGACGGGCACGGGCTGGGCAACCCTGTAGGGCACAGGCTGGGCCACCTTGTAGGGCACGGGCTGGGCGACGGGGTAGGGGACGGCACGGGGCACGTCGACGGGCACGGCACGGGGCACGCTCACGGGGTAGGGCTGGGGCACGGCGTAGGGCACGGGCCTGGGGTTGTCGACGGGCACGGCCTGGGGCACGGGCACGGGGACGTGACGGTCGACGGTGACGGGGTAGGGCTGGGGCACGGCGTAGGGCACGGCCTGGTCGACGGTGCTGACGGTGTGCTGGCCGCCGTGGTGGGCGATGGGGCCGGCGGCGTAGCCGAGGCCGGCGCCAGAGTAGCCGGAGTAGCCGAGGCCGGAGTAGCCGAGACCGCCGAGGTTGTAGCCGCTAAGTCCGCCGTAGCCGGAGTACGCTGACGGGGCGTAGATGCCGCTAGACAGTCCCGAGTAGCCGAAGTTGGAGTATCCCAGGCTGCCGCCGTAGCCGAGGCCGCCGATGGAAGGTGCGAGGGCGGGCGCCGCCGCCAGCCCACGCTTCTCCTGCTTCTTGGCCTCCTCGAGCTTGTCGCCGCACATGGCGGGCACGGCCGCGGCCACCAGCAGACAACACACCTGGAAAAGAGGGTAAAATGGACCGGTTAGGTCAGGAACTGCCGAATCGTGCGCAGGACAGGTGCGGCGGGGCGGGGCGCGGCCCGGCGGGGGCCCGCCGCGGGCGTGGCGTGCGTGGAAAGAAAGCAGATCAGCTGTTTGGCGGACCGGACCCCAGTTACGTCCGCCTGACGGAGCGGCGGCCGGCCGCCCTGGGACACTCGGCTAGTTTGAGTAAGTAGGGCGCTTTGTCACTGTCGTCGGCCCGACTGGGAGGCGGAGCGCACCATTTGCATATCCGCCGTAATATCTCTGTTTGATCTGCCGACAAGCTTTGGGCGCCTTTTGCCGCCGCGTCCAGAGGGGATGAGCATGAGATGAGGCGGGTCTTTATAAAGGGCTCACCAAACACCTTTTTTTTTTCTTTTTTTTTCGCTGCGGGCAGGGAAGGCAATCGCACAAATGAGCTGGGACACGCGCGCGCTGAGTTTCTACGAAGAATAGAGTAGAAAAAGGGGGAAGCAAGGGTGGGCGTAAAGAATCAAACGCTAAGTAAGGGCCCTGTTGGGTGTTTTGCGTCCGGAAGCTTGCCCACGTCCTTGGACGCACGAAAAGAGGCAAAGTCAGCAAAGGGATAGTAATCCTTCGTTACCATGTAATAACGAGGTGCAAGCCCTCATTTGCGACGCTTAGCCGGGCTTTGGCGGCGCCGCGCGCCCACGCCGGCCGCGCCGGCCGCACAGGGGAGGAGCAGCTCGTCCCACCGAGGAGGAGCAAGGAGCAGGGCCGCTCTGTCTGACGCGACTAAGTCGACAAGATGAAATTTCGCATCCGCAACAAAGCGAGCCGAGCTTGAGATGGGGGCGCTCTGAGCCTGAGCAGCCTGAGCCGCCTTGGTGGGGCCCTCGGCGCGGGGGGCGAATGCAAGCCCGCGGTCGACTTGTCGGGGAAACAGTTACTGCGGTAATGGTTTCCACAGCAAGAAACCGAGATGAAATAAAGCATTCCGGTAAAGCTGAAATGCAGAAGAATGTAGGGAACAAGAAAACGGAAGTCTCGTGTAAAATCATTTTGATTTCCGTTTTCTTCTTCCTCGCATTCTTCTGCATTTTAAGTTTACCGGAATGCTTTATTTAGGTATGCAATATTGGTCGCTATTGTTATTGTCTGTTCGGCGGTGCGTCTTGGAGCCGAAGCTCACATGCTGCCAATGTGTCGCACTTACCACGAATCCCCTCATTCTGGCTTGGAGTTGAGTTGGAAGGTCCAACGTTGGGTGAACGTAGACGACTGATGCCGGTCCTGCCGGCGCCCCCGGCTTTTATACTCGGGCCCGGGCCCCGCCAGGCGCTCGCGAAAAAGTGACCAGAAAGTGATCCCACTCCCAGGGACCCGGGAGTGGGAGGTAGGGGTGCGCACGATTCCGGTCCACCCCGCCAGCGCCAGGACGCCGCCGGCTGGTCGCCCGGGCCCGGCCTACGCCGCCGCCACATTCGGGCCGGGGCCCTGCCACCCCCCTG